AAAAATATTCTTAAAAAAAACAACAAAAACAAAACCATGCACAGATCACTTTCCCCTTTGGACTCTGGAATTCCTATTAGTTATCTTTGCTTTTTCCCCACTTCATCTTCTGAAACTGCCTATTGTTTCTATTACCCTACCTACACTGAATACTACTTCCTATCATTCTGCATATAGCCAATGAGAAATATATTTATTCTACAATCAAGCTGTAAATCTTAAAATGACCCTGTTGTAACATATAACTTATCAAATGAGCAGCTTTCCTTCCCTCCTCCCCTCTTCAATTTTTTGCTTGTTTTTGGCTTTTGCAGTTGTCAGTCTTCATGATCCATTCCGTGGCGAGCTGGGAAAAAACTCAGTTGCTAAATCAATGTCTGAACAGTGTAAGGCTCCTGAGTATCTCCCAGGAGTCCCTATCCAACTGTCCTGAGCATGAGGTCATTGCACACAGAAGACAGTCCATTATACAATGCTGACTATCTACAAAGGTCTGAGAGGGGTGCATCCCGTTTGTGTTTCCTCTTTTTGCCATGGTAATACTGATTATTTGATTTGCCTTGATGCTGTTTGTTTGTCATCAAGGAACCATGGCTTGTTTGAGTTGTACCTTGGAAGCCTTTGCTGGAAGAACGAAAGAGCCTTGCTGATCCATGCTGCAGAAAAGGAAAGTGGTCACAAAGAAAGTGGTCAGTGTGGCACACAAAACAAAGCACTCAAAATAATTTAGGGGAAGTTTTCAAAACTAGGTATATGCTGGCTAGGCAGTTAAAGTGCCAACTACTGATTTACCCACAAGCAGTGAAAGATGTTGCACATAAACACATCTTCTGAGATTAATGAGGAGAGTCCTGGTGTGGTGCTGTGGGTTAATGCGCTGGACTGTAAAAGTGGGTTTGATCCACAAAGTCAGTGGTTTAAGCTCACTTGCCATGCCACGGAAACCCTATACAGGGTGGCTATGGTTCGGAACCAACTCAACAGCACTTAACAACAACAACAAACAACTCTTAAATGCTAACGTTTTTACATTCTTTTATCATGGAAATCTTGATAAACATAGGCCACTTCTTGCCTTTTTAATAGAGTATTCAGTATGTGAATCTTTTTTTCAGGAGCCTGTTGACTGATATACCATATAATAAACAGTTTTCTGGCAGGTGCTGCTGGGGTGTCCAGGTGTGTCATAAGCTTACGGTTGTCACAGTTGGGTACTCCTGGAACTTTCTCTTTATTCTAGTCTCTTCTCTTGCTGGCCCTATCATCTCAATTTCTATTTCTAAGTAAGAATGTCAATGTAAAGTCAAATCAGACATGAGGTGACTGACTTATCTCCACTGGCAAGAAAAGGCCTTTGCCCAGGGTCCCAGGTGTACACAGAGACAGTGAGATGGCCTTGGGCATGAGCCCGGTGTCAAATGGCCTCTTCCTCTAATATCCATTCATTTGTCCTGATTACATAACAATCTTGGACAACTTTTAAGTCAAAGCTAATGCTAATCAACTGACCATGTCTGATAGCTGCCCAATTACTTCAACATAGAAATAAGTAGTGAATATTAAAACAGAAAAAAGAAACTGCCATGAAATCATTAAAAAAAAAAAAAAAAAAAAAACTTCATGTGAATCTATTTCAAGCACAACTGCAGTCTTTCTATAGTTTGCTGAAATTTTTGATGCTGGATCTGTAATAAGGTTGCTTAGCTGGGGCATTTTGTAAGAAGCAGTCCCTAGAAGCCTACTATGGCTCATGTTACAATAGTGTCTCATAAAGATCCCCAGAATCCTGTCATTAGAAAAACTGTCATGCTCTGGAATCTATTAAAGCAAAACAGGTTTATTCTTAAAAAAACAAAAACAGGTTTGCTCTTTAACCTAACACAACATGTATGTTACTCACATATATGAAATTTTAAATACTTGATATTAAATGCTATCAATTAAAAACACAAGTTCTGCATACCTGAGTTTTGTTGGTGTTGTTGGATGTGTTAGTGACTTGGTTGCTCTGCATTCTTCCAACTGCCTGAAAAGACTCCACGGACACATCTTGTAACCCTACTCGGTTCCCAGTGGATGGACGGCAGAGCAACTGTTTTGGGGTTTTGCATGGTGTCGCATCAGAATCCTAACACAAGTTATATGTTATAGAATAGTAAATTAATACTCTAGATATTCAGTATTAAGAAAGGAAAACAATTTCAACTAAGTATTCTCTGGATTACATTTAAACATTAAAGGAAACACAATGAGATATTCATGAAATTAGCTGTTTAAGAAAAATTTTTCTCCAAATATGCCAGAGGGCATAATCCTCTACCCATGTCTGAGCTCATTAATCAGTCTTAAGGATGCTCACAGAGGTTCAAGTTTATTTGCATTTTTACCTCAAAAAAATTAACCATGGTATAATGGAAATGTCCCAGTCCTGGCTAAATGTCTCCAGTCAAACACAAAATAATTAAGAGGCTCAGTATCTGACAGTCTGTAATTATAAATCAGTGGTCCCTCCAAACAAATAGTGTGTGGATATGGGTGTCCCACCTGTTGTAAAACCACCACCACTACTGAATTCCATAACATGTTCCAGACCAGGACTATGCTACTTCTCAGCATCCTACCCTTCGTATTCACACTCTATCTGGCATAGTCCTATGGGCCCTAATCCTCCCTCTCAAGGCCAGCCCTGCTGTGTCTGTGACATCTAGCTTAATGTTCTGTCCTTCACAGCATTACTCTAGAAACCAAAAAAGGCAAGCAAAGAAAACTGTATATGAAATTTTATTATGGAAGACTCCATAATGATACATAGTTAGCGCTGTTGTTGTTGCTAACTGCTTTTGAGTCTGTTCTGACTCACAGTGACCCTGTGCAGGGTCTCTGAGGAGCAGCTGGTTAAGTTTGAACTTGTGGTGCTTATCTTACAGCACCACACCAAGACTCCAGTGTTAACAACATAAAATTATGGCCATTGTACATTTGGATTACTTTTTGTCAAACATTTAATGAAGTCAAAATTCAAATAATGGAAAAGTCCATTTTAGAGCTTAAGTAAGTCAACTCAAAGTTACCCTGATAAAGAAAAGCACTATAGATATAATTGACACTTAAAATTCAATTAGGTGATGAAACCCAATTAAGACATCCCAAAACACTGGGCAGAAAGATTACCTTAGGGGAAGAATCCTGAGTTTATTAAATCTTGTTCTTCATTAGTAAAAAAAAAAAAAATTCAATCAGGATGAGACAGAAAGATTAGTGGTTATGAGGGAATGAGAAGAGGGTGAGTTGGGACTGCCGATTATGGGGTTCTTGAGGGTGATGGAAATGTTCTGGAATTCAATAGTGGTGGTGGTTGTACAGCATTGTGAACATATTAAAAAACCACTAAATTGTACACGTTAGTGAAATTTTACATTAATAGTAAATTTTATATCAATTTAAAAAAATTCAATCAAGAAGTTCATCATGCTGAATATAAGCCTTCCATAAAAGCATGCAAACTATATGATTCTGTTTATATGAAATTTGGGAAAAGGCAAAATTAGTCTGCAGCATTAGAAAATACTAACAGGTGATGTCCCTGAGGGTAAGACTAGGGCTTGCTTAGGTCTCCGGATATCACATAAAAGAACCATATTCCTCCTGGACAGCTAGAAGCTTGGCTGGGAGTTGGAGTAACTGTTCTTGCTCTTTTGTTCCATACACTGTAAACACAAACACTGCCATGTAGAAAGCTCAGGGTCATGTTGCCACTGACAGACCCACTGAGCCTGAAAATGTGAGGAGGCTTCAATTCCATGTTTAATGCAGCAAAGAACCACACTCCAGACTCAGGCACTTCAACCTAACATCAGGGTTAAATTCGTCTAGGAGGCTAGGAACTAGATTTGCAAATTCTCAAGTGTAGCTTTTTTCACCTGCAACATATGGCTTTAAGTTCAAACTCTGAGGAATCATGAGGGAGTTCTCTGGGATGACAGTAATATTCTGTGTCTTGTTAGGGATTTGGATTACATTTGTATATACATTTGATAAAATTCAATGAATATAAAGATTTATCTATTTTCTTATATGCCAATTTTAAATCAAAAGGAAAAAAACTATTATTGAACTGTTATGAATGATATGCAAGCTGCAGTATTTTAAACAGTGTGCAATTTACTTTAAAATGAATCAAAGAATAAAATGGATTAGTGATTAAGAAGAAAGATGGTTAATTAAGCAAGTGAAACATTAATGATGGAATCGAGTAATAGGTATATGGGTGTTCATTAGAAGTCTTTTGCCTTTGCTGTAAGTTTGAAAATTTTCATACTAAGATATTTGGAAAAAGTATAATCATGAGGGTTATTAAAATTGTCCAGTAACAAACAAAAAAATGAGTTTGCCTTGTACCTCTAGACAAACTTAATTAATTGAGCTACAGAACTCTTAACTTATAGGTTTAGAAAAGCTGTGGTCTGAATACTTACCACATCACTAGAGCTGGACTGCGTGGCAGAAGAGGAAGACACGGGACCTGATGAAGAGTTTGAAGAGTGTTTACTAAGAGATTCTGAAGTTTTAGTTGTACATTTTCCAACGGTTTCATTTTCTTCAGATAGATTACTATTACATTTATGCAATTGCTGAGTATCTACTATCAAGGTAACACCATTTCCTGAAAGAGTGGTAAAAGATTGGAAGCTGTTTCTTCCCATTAAACACAAACAACACAGAAAGCCTCTAATATTTAATCAATACTTTTTAAAATCTTACCATTGCAGGAAGGTTCAGGTCTATTCTGCAAGCCCCACTGTTTTGATATCCAATCTCTGTATGTGGCAACTTCATCTGTTACTCTAATTATTCTACCTAATATGCTGCATGTTTAAAAAAAAAGGAGGGGGTTGGTTACATCAATTTGAAAATCAAAAGCTATAACTAATCATGACACAATGGGCTGATTTTAGTGAAAATTTTACCTCTCTGTTTCATTGTTGGGATAGTACTTTGCTATTGGCGATACAGCATGACTCAGAACAACATAGGCATAATCAAAAGCCTGTTTTACTTGCATGGCCCCATATGAACTCCTTCCAACATCATTGCCTTAAAAGAAATGGACATATCAAATAGCTTTCTGAAAATAAAAACTAATAATTAAAAGTTAAGTTTGACCATTGCTTAATTTGAACTAAATATGCATGAAATCTCTTCATTTATAAAGTGAAATTCCAGCTTTCAGCACAGGATGAGAGAGTTGCATCTAGAAGCTGAGCTGTCAACTGTCCCCACAACTCCCTAATCTCTAAACTGTCTATTACACAGTCAATACTTTACTAAGGCATAATGTCACCTAAAATATATTTTGACTCAACAAGGGCTATCCTATACATAAATAGTCATGCAAACAAAAGAAATAACTGCCTGTTCTCTCCTAAGAGTAAAATCAACGTAAATGAGAGGTAACTATTTTTTTGTGTTTCTATTATGAGCTGAGCTGCTAACTGTAAGGCCAGCAATTTGAATCTACCAGCTGCTCTGCAGGAGAAAGATGAGGCTTTCTACTCCCATAAAGATGTACAGCCTTGGAAACCCTATACAGGGTCACTATGAGTCAAAATCAATTCCATGGAACATAACTACCACCACCACCGTTAGCTATATAATATAATATAATATAATATAATATAATATAATATAACATAATATAATATATTACTGAATTATGAGCTTCAAAATAGCAAGTATGTGTGCCATCTAAAAATTCTTTGCACAATGCTTCTGCACAGAGTAGGCTCCCAGTGAATAGTCCCTGGGTGAATAAACACACAGAACTGTTAAAGTGATAAGACAGCTTAATAAGTCAACTCATTCCTCTTAACTCCCTTTCCTTATGCACTTTCAGAGTTTACATATTAAAGGGGATATAAGCATTCCCAATGAAGTTTGATCATGTAGAGTTAAAATATTTTATAATTATATCAGAATAAAAAATGTCCGGAAAAACTAAGACACAAACAAGCAAAAACAACTTCATGAAAAGTATGGAAGGGATTTCTTTTCCTTTTCTGTTCCCTGTTGAAAGGCTCAGGGAAACTGTGCAAAAATAAAAGTACAACAAAGTGTTTCAGAAGAAATATCTATCTCCTTGAACCCTTTTGCTAGAAATATGTTATCAAGTTTACTGTTTCTAAAAGCCCTATGTGACAACTGGTTGAAATCATGGAAATAAGAACACAGAAAGGAGAAAAATCCTCAGACTGGAGATGCATACAAATCCAACCAGGACCTTAATTCTTAAGAGTCAAATGGATTTGACTCCCACCGGGCATGGATTGAGGGGGTTTTCTGGTGTGTTTATTTGGGTAGGGTATTTTGTTTAAGAAATATTTGGGTGGAAAAAGAATGACTACAATTTCAAGTTATTTCTTTATTATTCATCTAAAGAGAGTTCAAAATAAAATTAGATGACTGAACTGCCCTCATTTTGCATGCCAACCCATTTACCTAATTTCAATACCTGGTTGTAAAGGATCTTCAATATAAAGCATTGATGGCCTGTAGCCATCTAGCATATTTTTCTGTACTTCATCTTTGGCTACATATGAACCACCATCCTTTATCCGGATGCCAGTCTTTAAATAATTGAAGTGTCGTCCATATAATTCAAAAAATTCTATTAAGAGAACACCATAGTTTGTGTTGGGAATGCAAGCATCTTCCCTGGGATGTAACTACAAATAGAAAAGGGGGGGGGGGGAAAGAAGAAATCATATTGAATTTTCTCTAAATTATCAAAGTGAAAGAGGACTTAAGTGACATTCTAACTCATAAAATATTATTTCAGCTTAGTATTGCATAACAGTATAATGGGGTTTTGAGCAGCCAATAGGCAATAGAGTAACAGCGGGCTGTGTTGCTGTTATTGAAAGTACTAAAGCCCTATGAGTGTGAAGCTGGTGTGAAGGTTTCTACGGATGAATTTTACAGTTGTTCCAGGATGCTGATATGGCTCGTGGCCCAACATACCAGGGAAGCTACTCATGAGTAGAATCAGGCAGTTGGCAACACCATGCCACATAAATACACTCACTTATGATACTAAAACTTCTAGCTCAGATGGCAAGTATTAAGTACAGTTAAACTTACAGAATTATTTGCTTAGAAGACATTCTTGGTTTTTGACATTTATGCTACTATTTACATTTACAGAAAGTAAGCCATATACCATTGCATGTTAAAATTTGCAAAAGTATTAGGACACATAAGGATTTAAAATAAAAATATTTTTCCTAAGAATTTGAAACCACTTACTTGCTCAATTATTTTTTAATTACTTAGTTTAAAGGGAAAAGCTGTAAGTAATAAGAAAAGCATTCCAATTAAACATGATTTAAAATCTTTCCCAGAATGTTTTCTCAGTTGTTTCTTTTTCTAGTGTACCTAGCATAATATACTAATATGACTTACCTGAAGAAAACTGACTGCCATTAAAAAGAGACTATAAGAACCAATTCCACCTGTAAATACTTCATTAAGGTCCCTCTGTAATAAGAATTGTTTCAATACTAAAACCAGGTATGGTAATACAGGGTATTTCTGTAAAAGAAATAAGATTGTATTTTTGGTGAATTCACATATTAGTAATTGCTATAAGCATTAACAGGGGCATCAATTGGTCTGTGCATTACAAAATAAATTTGGTGGATATATGCAATATACTTCATCATCTATTTGAAGAGTAAGCTGTAACAAAGTAACCTATAAGTAGCTGAAGGTTTTCTCCCTCACATCTAAAATCTAGAGCATATATAAGTAGAAGCACCCAAAGCTCTTATTTTGGGATGGAAACACTGGGTATCTACTTGATGAGACTCATTTATGAACATTACTATGTGACATTATTTGTAAATAGGAAGTAGAAACAGCATAAGAACAAAGTCTCCTAACATCTTGAAGCACTAACTCCATCAGTGGGATTTTTAAAATCACTTTTTTTTTTTTTAAGTGATACAAACCAGGATCCTTTATTCTACATTGCTCCAGACCAGAAGCAATCAATCCTGCCTGTTGTCCTCAGTGTGGACAGACAGCACATAGACACAGACCTTTCACATTTTACAAAGAATGAGGCAGAACTACAAGTACAAGTTCCTCTTTTGCTACAAGTCAAGCTCTAGGCTGGGAACACTGAGGTTTTTAAAACAAGCAGATGTACACATCTAGAAAGATGTCTTATCAGTCATTACCTACAGGGTTGTGAAATTATTAGTGATTTCTAGTTTCTTCTTTATACTTATCTATGTTTTCTACATTTCCAGTGAGGACTAATGTCCTAAAGCTTCCATAAGAAATAAAAAAAAGTTATACTTGTTCATGTCATGTCAAAGTAGGTAAACATGAGAAAGAACAAAAAAAGTATGCAGAAAAAAGTATATTTAAATCTTATGGTCAAAGTTGAATTAGTCACAGTCTCTTTAAAGGATAACAAGGCAACTGTTAAACAGAATTATATCTGTATATAACCTCTGACCCCAAAATTCCACTTCCTAAGATCTTCCTACGAACATTTTTGGAAATATAAATAAAGGAAGATACAGATATAGAAAGATGTTCCCCAAAGCAGCTTTTTTTTGTAATAAAAAACCCACTGTAAATAGCCTAAATGTCTGTCAATGGGGAGCTGCTAAATAAATGATGAGACATTCTTTGAAAGGACTACTATGTAGTCAATAAAAAGAATGATATAAGGTTGTATGTTCTGATAAGAAAAAGCCTCCAAAATTTTAAGTTAAAAAGACAGTGTGTAGGAGTCCCTGGGTTGTACAATGGTTATAGTCAAACTGGAACTTTTATGGTGTGGCATTGTAGGATCAGTAATGAACTGCGAACCACAAGGAAGACAGTTCAAACCTATCAGCTGCTAGTCGGAAACCCTATACAGGGTCTCTAATGAGTCAGAACTGACTTTATGGCACTTAACAACAACACAATCAAACTGAGTTTGAACACATCCAGAGGCACCACAGAACACAAGTCTAGCTTTGCTTCCTAAAGGCCACAGCTTTAGAAATGGTATGGAGCAGTTTAACTGTATACACATGTGGTCTCCATGAGTCAGGACTAACAACAATGCAGAAACATGTATATAGTGCACAACAAGATAAATAAAGGAGAAAAAAATGGTGGTCAATTCTAGAAAATTGATTAAACTATCTAAAGTGAGAAGGTCGCTAATCTTTTAGTATCACTTAATATTATTAAAAGGAGCTCTGGTAGCCTAGTGGTTATGAATTGGGCTGTGAACCTCAAGGTCAGCAGTTTGAAACTATCAGCTGTTCCGCGCGAGAATGATGAGGTTTTCTGCTCCCGTAAAGATTTACAGCCTCGGAAACCCTGTACAGGGTCGCTATGAGTCGGAAGCGACTCCATGGCACAACAGCAACAATATTGTTAAATTTTTTATCAAGCATATTGTTTTCGATTGAAAAAATGTTTCTTTTCTAGGAAAAGAAAATGTATACACTACATAATACCACCAAAGAATAGGCTTATGGACAATAAATCTTTTCCTGTTTTTCTGTACTCCGCAACATTTATACAATAAGAATAGAATTTTTACAACATGATCAAGTAGTTAAATTGTTTCTTACCAACACAAAAACGAGAGAAAGAAACTGTACCACTACTAAAGAAAAAAGATTGCGAATGGGTAGAAAAGATATTCTATATAAAACAGAGCAGTTAATGTTTTTAATGTAGTGAGGAAAAGCTGATAACTGTCTTTAAGTATGTGAAATGCTCTGAAGATAATGTTGGTAAATTCTTCATTACCGTGGAAGGAAACAGAACAATTATAAATAGACTTATTTAATCACATCTAGATAAAAGCAAGAAAATCTGCAGGAACCATCTTACAGGTATGTAATTTAGGGATTAAAATCTAAAAATGGCTCCCTAGGGAGATTCTTAAATCTGAACTCTTAAGATTAAAAACGCATAGGAATCAACTCTGTGGCATGAGCTCAGCCCTTATCTACCTACAAGGAAGGATCTAGAGCAGAGGAATTCTTCAAAAGCTTTCTCAACCCTTAATTCTCATTATAAGTTAATTACTGATTATTAAAAGCAGATTCAAGAAAAGTAAATTATTGCATGGAAAAGTAAAAAGCATTTGTCAGCAATATGCAAATGAAAAATAGTTTAGTAAACTGTATCAGAACATCACCACAGCAGAATGTCTGAACAAAATCACCATTTTAATAATTCCACACTGTAAATTCTCTGACCTTGGTAAAATCTTTGATGAGGTCAGCTGCTCTCACACCATTCTGTACATTAAAGCTGATATCAACTTTAACTTCAGTAAAAGAATCTGTTAGTTTAATAATAGGCACCTGAAGAGAGAACAGCAAATTTAAAACACTTTAAGCAAAATGACAAATAAATGGAATAAAAATTTAGTAGAATTGGAGTCTAGACTTCCTCCTCCTAAGCACTTAGAAACACTGAGCCCTCTGAATGCAACTTCACTTGTTTTTTTACAGATATTGTCCATTATACATTATTATATAACTCCAAAAACAATATACCTTCATTTCTATTTGTTGCAGATTTTGAAATCAGGTAACCAAAAAATGTTCTTAACATTATCAACTTTGGAAAACACTATTTACAACTCAGTATAAGATCAAGAATTTAAAAAATACCAAACCACCCAAACCTAAATAATACATCACAATCCATTTGCATTACTGGTTAGTTTTAAAAATACACAAAAAAACAATCTAGCAAGAGAAAATAAAGTGTAAGCATTATCTTCAAATAAAAAATGATAGAATGTATCTCCAGCAATTAGAAACAGATCAACAGAGGAAACCAAAAGAAAAGAAATAATAAAGATCAGAGAAGAAATAAATGAGATGGAACAGAAAAACTATAGAAAGAATCAACAGGACTGGTTCTTTGGAAAGGATTAATAAAATTGACAAACTACTGAAAACCTAACAAAAGAAAAGTGGGAGAAGACACAAATAACACACATTAGAAACCACATGGGCAATGTCACTATGGAACCAAAGGAAAAAAAAGGATAATAACAGAATACTGTGAAGAGCTGTACTCCAACGAATTTGAAAACTTAGAAGAGATGGTTAGAAAAACATGACTTACCTAAACTTACCCAAAGTGAAGTAGAAAATCTGAACAGACCCATAACAAAAGAAGAAATTGATCAGGTCATCAAAACTCCCAACCAAAAGAAACCCAGGCCCAGACGGATTCACTGGTGAGTTCTACCAAACATTCAAGAACTGTCACCAATTCTATTCAAATTATTCCAGAATATAAAAGAGGATGGAAAACTTCCTAATACATTTTATGAAGGAAGCATAACCCACATACCAAAATCAGGGAAGGACATCACTAAGAAAGAAAATTATATACCAATATCCTTCATGAACATAGATGCAAAAATTCTCAACAAAATCCTAGACAACAGAATCCAGCAGCACTTCAAAAAGATAATACATCATGAACAAGTGGGATTCATATCAGGGTTGCAAGGATGGTTCATTATTAGAAAAAAAAAATTAATGTAATTCACCATATAAATAAGAAAAAGGAAAGGACCCACATGATCATATCAATCGATGCAGAAAATGCATTTGACAAAATCCAACATCCATTCCTGATAAAAACACTCAACAAAGTAGGAATCAAAGGGAGATTCCACAACATAATTACAAGCATAATTACAAAACTAACAGCCTATATTATTCTCAATGGAGAGAAACTGAAAACCTTCCCTCTGGGAATCGGAACCAGAAAAGGATGCCCTTTGTCACAACTCCTACTCAACAATATTGTTTTAGAAGTTGTAGCCAGAGCTATACAGCAAGATAGGGAAATTAAAGGCATCCAAATTGGCAAAGGGGAAGTAATACTCTTTCTATTTGCAGATGATATGATCCTATACACAGATAACCCAAAAACTCAGTAAAAAGGCCACCCTGGAAGATTCAACAAAGTAGCAGGGTCATCAACATACAAAAATCAGTTGGATTCCTCTATAGTAACAATGACAGAGCTGAAAAGGACATTAGGAAAGCAATACCATTTACAATAGCTGCCCAAAGGATAAAATATTTAGGAATAAATGTAATCAGAGAAACAAAGGACCTATATAAAGAAAATTACAAAATACTACTACAAGAAAACAAAAAAAGACTTACAAAAGTGGAAGATTATACCATGCTCCTGGGTAGGAAGACTTAACATTGTGAAAATGTCAATACTGCCCAAAGCAATTTACACATATTTACACATGCAATCCCAATCCATATTCCAATTACATTCTTCAAAGTGATGGAAAACACAATTACAAACTTTATATGGAAAGGAAAAAGGCCCAGGATAAGCAAAGCACTGATGAAGAAACAGAACAAGGTTGGAAACCTTTCACTCCCCGATTTAAAATTTTACTACATGGCTACAGTGGTCAAAACAGCCTGGTACTGGTACAATGAAAGATACATTGATCAATGGAATCTAGAAATTAACCCATCCACACAGCCAACTGACTTTCGACAAAGTGCCAGGATATATCGCTAGCAGAACTGGAAAGCAACATGCAAAAGATCGAAACGACCTTTACCTCATGCCCTATAAAAAGCCAACTCAACATGGATTAAAGATCTAAATGTGAATCCCAAAATTATGAAGGTCATCAATGAAAACAATAGGGACAAATGTGAGGGCTCTAATACAGGGAATATACAGACTACCAAACATTTTGAAAACTGTACAAACAAAAGTAGACAAAAGAGCTTTTTGTTCTGCTTTTTTTGTTTTGTTTTGTTTTGTTTTAATCACAGGAAAGAGTAGAAGAGAGCTGAGGGAGAGAAAAAGAGCCAAAGGTTGGATTGGAGCCTGAGGTATAGTGTAACAACCAACACTGGCACCTTGGAATCTCTTGGGCAGCTTTGAAGACAAGAACGTAGGACATTAAAGCCATACTCATATCAAGCTACAGATTTTGTTTTTCCTTCTTTTTCTTATCTCCCTCCTCTCCCTTTCCTGTGATTAGAGACTGCAGTATTCAATATTGTTTTGTTGATGCTGCTTTTTCTTTTTTCCTTTCTCTCATTCCCCCACCCTTGCCCGGTATTGTTTTGCTGTTATATGCTCCCCCCTTCTGACTTTGGAGGACTCTTTGTCTCCTTATATTATACAAGAAGAGTCAGCAACTGCTGCCATATAGCTAAGCTACAACCACACTCTATAAAACACCAAAACCCAGGCAAGAACCAATACCAGCAGACATATACCAGGGAACAGACAACTCCTGTGAAAGTTACTCTGAGTTAAGCCATAAGAAAAGTGAAAAAGGAAGCCCACATCCTGATCATATCTTCCCGGAAGCAATCAGAAAGCATAAAAAATTTACCAAAACACATACTCAATTAAGTATTACGGTCACAGATAAA